TACTGTGCTGCAAGGGTGCGAGAGGGATAAACAACATTTTGGCTAGCCAAACGGGAAAGCAATGCGAGTCAGTCAAGAAATATACAGGTGTCGCTAATTTATTAGAACTGGATGACAAGGACCTCGGAGCAACTTGATCATGAGCCTCTTTGTTTCTTTTAATGAATGTGCGAATGAAATGATGCGGGGGGTTGTTGGTTTCTCCTATTATATGATTATTGTCTGCTTGAATTATTCTTTGATTTTGACCATTGGGTAGTATCACATCCTCACCAATGCTAAGCATTATCTTTTAATTAGTTGCTAACGTACTATGTTGCATTAAATTAAAAAAAAAAAAATCCACATCCACGTTTGAATGTCATTACCGCCCCGATCGGGCATATATTTTCCTTTTCTTTTTTTTCAGAAGCTGGATTCCGATGTGGGAATGAATTGTAAATATAAAGACAGAACTTTAACAAAGGTAAAGTTCTATCTGGACGGTATGGGCTGATTTAATGCATTTATGCGGAAATAGATTACAAATCACTTATACTCCTCCGGTCTTTAATATAGGACCCAATTCTTGAGTTGATTTTGGTCCTAAATATAAGACCCATTTCTCATATTTATCAATTTTCTCTAAATTACCCCTATGGATACTCCCTCAACCATAATCAAGTAGAAGAGGGAGAGAATGTATTAAGAAATATGATTATGGTGTTTTAGGAAAAATGTGTCACTTTTCCTATAATTAACTAACTTACCTAACTTCCTTAATATAATCAAATTAGTTAAATGGGTCTTATATTAAGGATCGAAGGAGTATTAAGAATTGGGATAGTATGAGTTAAGGAGAGGAAGGTTTGTGTCTTGAATTCTGACATCTTTAGGGGGATGAGTGATATCCGTTAGCTTCTACCCGAAGGATGACGGTCCCACCAAAGTAAAGTTACAGGAACATTTAATTAAGAGAAAAAATACATAAATAATAATTAAAAATTAAGAAAATTTATAAGTATTTGCAAAATAAATTCTCCTTTAATAAAAGTCTAGTATCGGAAATAGATCAGATTAAAGTTGTCAATGTTTCAGATTATATTTTAATATTTTAAATTTATTTATTTTACGTTTTATTAAATAAAATATTAAATCTCAACCCTTAAAATTTGGTCTAATAATGAAAAAGAGAGAGGCGTGGAATAAGAAAACTTGGAGAATATCCACTCCCCTGTGGCCCCGTCTACTAAGATGGGCAGAGAAAGGGATAGTTGACTTCTTTTTCCCAATCATGACATGATTTGGTCATGTATTCGTCTACATTCATTTAACGAGGACAGAAGTTAAAGATCATCTATAAATCAAAAGAACTAAGAGTAATTCAAGAGTAAATATACACTCTAGTCTATAATATTCCTCAAATCCTTAATATAAGATCTGTTTAACTAATTTGATTAGATTAAGAAAGTTAGGTAAGTTGGTTAATTATAAGAAAAGTGACACATTTTTCCTAAAACATCATAATCATCTTTCTTAATACCCCATCTCCCTCTTCTATTTGATTATGGTTAAGGGAGTATCCATAGGGGTAATTTAGAAAAAATTGATAAATATGAGAAATGGGTCTTATATTTATAACCAAAACCAACTCAACAATTGGGTCCTATATTAAAGACCGGATGAGTATTTTTTTCTTTTTGACCAGAGCACTCTAGTCTATAATATACTCCTCCGATCCTTATTATAAGACCCAATTTGACTTTTTATTTGGTCCTAATTATAAGACCCAATCCATTTTGTCTCTTATATTTATGCATTTTTTTCCAAGATAATCCTTCTAATAATGATAGTTTTAGCCAATATACTTAATTAGCAAGGATATTTTAGGAATGACAACACTTATTTATTATAAATAACCAACTTAACTTACTTTCTTAATCTCCTCAAATAAGTCAATTGGGTCTTATAATTAGGACCGGAGGAGTACTACCTTAACTTCTTTCTCACACCCATGACATGATTTGACCAAATATCATGAAGCGGTGCAATTTCCCTGATCGTGCATTCGTCTTCGTTCGTTGAACAGGGGCAGAAGTTAAAGATTATTTATAAATCAGAAGAATCAAGAGTAATTCAAGAGTAAATACACACTCCAGTCTATAATATGCACACTCTAGTCTATAATATACTACTTTTGGTATTTAATACTACCTCTAGTATTTAATATAAAATCTTATTTGACTTTTATTTTAGTTCTAAATATAAGACTCTAATCTATTTTGTCTCTCATATTTATATATTTTTTTCAATATAATTCTTCTAATAATAATAATTCTAACCAATACACTTAACTAGTAAGGATATTTTAGGAAAGACAATACATATTTATTACAAATAACTAACTTAACTTCTTTCCTTAATTTCCTCAAATTAGTTAACTTGCTCTTATAATTAGGACTGGAGGTAATATAAAAATTAGTTCGACTTTTAATTTGGTTTTAAATATAAGACTTTAATCCATTTTGTCTCTAATATTTATTTAGTTTGCCCTTAAGTAATTCCTATAGTAACTGCATGTGTTAAGGAATTACTATCAATGTAATGGTATTTTAGGAAATACAATATTTATTCATTACAGATAATTATCTCAACTAACTTTTTAAATCTCCTTAAATTAGTCAATTAAGTATTATATTAAGGATCAGAGGTGGTAAAAAGTTACTCCTCCGGTCCTAATTATAAGACCCAATTGACTTATTTGAGGAGATTAAGGAAGTAAGTTAAGTTGGTTATTTATAATAAATAAGTATTGTTATTCCTAAAATATCCTTGCTAATTAAGTATATTGGCTAAAACTATCATTATTAGAAGGATTATCTTGGAAAAAAATGCATAAATATAAGAGAGAAAATGGATTGGGTCTTATAATTAGGACCAAATAAAAAGTCAAATTTGGTCTTATAATAAGGACCGGAGGAGTAATTAGTTTTTCACACATACTAAGAAATAAAAATTCAGTTGCTAAATTTGTCGGAAAATGATATAGTTTTTCAATTTTACTCCTAAAAAATCGTAAAGTGGCTTTAAATATTACACTTTTATTATCTCGCATAGCTCTTCTCTCTAGCTTATATTTAGTAGGAGTGAAAATGAAAAAATTGCATTAATCATCCTAACAGCATCTTATATTTTGGACAATAATTTTATTCCAACCAGCATTTTATATTACGGACCATAGAGAATTTTGATTAAATCTATCCATGAAATAAAAGAAAATATTTAGGTTAATTTTTTTTTATGTCCAAGTTCTTCAACCACATATAACTATGTTTGTTTTTATGTGTGTTTATAATTAAGTGATAATATTTCAAAAATAAGACATACCGTGTGCTTGGATAACTTGATGCAATGAATATAAAGAATTTGATAAAAGTATTGTCCTAATATAAAACTATCCTCACATTCATTTTATTTTTAGAAATTCATCTAAAACTTGTTTGAATTTTTAGATGAGTTAATAAATGGGCAAGGGCTTCTAAAAGGCAAAAAATGAAAAAAAAAAAAGAAAAAAGTTGGCAGCTGAAATTTTCCATCGACTAAAAATAATAAAGTATAATCTCGGTTGTATTGAAGGGAAAAAAAAAAAAACGGAGAGAGCATAATCTCAGTTGATTTTTTTTTTTGACGATTCAACAACTCTTGCTCATTTTCTGGCCAAAAGCACTACAACTCGAGTATTGGCGCCGGTATAAAGTTGGGGGAATTACAACCAAGTCCCACAGAAGAGAAATAATTACAGAAAAGTCCCAATAACAACCTCAACAGTCTATAATAACAAGCCAGTGAGAATGACAACCTCTGGGACTTGTTTTTTAATTGTTTTTCTTGTTTGGGACCTCATTGTAATTCTCCTTGTAAAGTTAGGCTGTAAGAACTGTTATTATACTGTGGATATGGGATTTTGTGCACTGGTGCATTTTGCAGCCCCACGGAAGCCCCGTACAATTGGATTTAATCTGTTCTAAATATAAAAATTAATTAACTAATTTAAATAAATAAAAAAATAAATTAAGTTAGATATTTGTAATAAATAGGTGTTATTTTTTTAAAAATATTTTTACTACTTAAATTTATTGGCTAAAAGTCTAAAATTACTATTATTAGAAAAACTATCTTTAAAAAATAAATAAATATAAAAAATAAAATAGACTAGTGTCTTATATCTAGAATCAAAATAAAATTCAAACGTCGTCTTATATTAAAAAAATAGAATTTGTATAATTTATAAATACTAATAATTAAATTAGCAACTACTAATTAACAATTAGGAGTAGTAGATAAGCCCAAGTAGGCCAGAAGTGCATGTAATTATAAACACCCATCAGATAGCGACGGACGAGCGGAAAGCCGGCGCCAGCTTCCACAACCATCCGCGCAAGCCAAGAGCTTAGGCAATAGAGATTAAAAAAAATACAAGACTAATCAATATTAAAATGTTCAAGAAACAAACGCGCGTCAAAAGGATTAGTTTTATTATTATAACGGCGCTCATCATTGCACATGTTCTGAGAACCAAAAGTCGCATTCACGCGTTAAACTCAATGGCTAAGGGAAAACGCCACCACAAGCTCTGTTAACAACATAAAGTGGCATTATTGTAGAAGATATATTTACTATCGACATCGAACTTGGATTATCCACCTTAACTTAAAAATATTTAAACGTCATTAAATTTGGATGTTCCCTTTTTGGCAAATGGTCTCAATGAAATCAAACTTTTTCATGCGAACTCCGCTTGTATATTTACTCCTTATATAGCTCAAAATTATTTTAAATGAACTAATCTAAAAATCCTCCTGAAAAAGTGTTCTGAAGAAATGGTTTGGCTGCGTCCTCGTTTTGGAAGAGATTTGCTCATGCGTTGGTGATTTCCCCCCCTGGTTGGTAGTTTTCTTAAAAAAGGATAAGGGGATATTTGATCTGTCACATACATTCTCCCATCCCATGTCCTTAGTCTTCTTCCCCCTGGCCATGACATGTCATTAGTCTTATCACTCTGGGCTTCGGTCACTTATTGGCACTGGCAGAATATCAGACACACTCTTCACGGCCAAAACGCGGTATAAAGCCGATGGGTGGGCGATACTAAAAGGAAGAGGCTTAGCCTTTGTGACAGAGAGAACCTAAGAAACACATTGAGATTTACAGGGTTACAGAGATCGGGGTGAAAGCTGGGAGGTTAGAGATTCTAATGAGCTCAAAAGACGCACATGGATTCTTCCGTAAGCGAAGACGAACTGTCTCAACCGATGGTTTTTATTTCTTTAATTTTATGTATCGCATTACTTACTGCACCATATTTGTGATTGAACAGAGGCCGGGCTTCTTGACTGTGCGAGATCGAATCTATGATGCATTCCTACCATACATAGATATCATCAGGGCTTTGATATTCACTATGACCGAATGTTTCAGTTCTCGTCGACGCGTCCAGATATGTCGATACGGTGCCAAAGATCTGACACGGCTGGCTGGCGAAACCAGATGTAATTCCTTTGTTCTTCCAATAATTCAACTAAGCTGCTCGATAGCTTTATTGGTGGTTTTACATTTTCTCCGGCTGTTTTGTTGGTTGTTCTGCACTTCTTTTTGGGATCTGGTCATGGCCGGTTGATAAATAATGAATAGTTGACTTTAAGTCATGGGGTTGAATTGGATGATGAGGGCATGAGGCGAAGGGTGAAGGATCCTTGTCTGGTACTTCATAAATTTACAACTCGAATTCATTACATTCCGTCAGAAGTCCCCGTGTTGGCCGTCGTCTTATATTTCATCTATCTCTGACCTACTTCTTCTTCGCGTCTTTCTTTTCGAAAGCGGTATGCATGCAAGAATAAAAGGATTCTAGCGTTAACTATCTTCAAACTATTATTAAATTACGGGGAATGTTAAAAAGTGTAAACAGACCACCCGTGCTTCCTGGATGATCCCATTTGTTGTGAGGAAAGAGAGAGAATCAATTTTCTTAATTTTTAATGTTTATTGTATTTTTATACTCATTATGGAACCGTTTTACTTATTACTTTTCAGAGCAAGAGTGCAAATTCCTTTTATATTTTAAAACCATGTTGTTTATGTGGACAATATTTTAGGCTTGATGTGTAAATTAACAGTTGGTGGTTAATCACTCTGTCTCTATCCTTTTTATTACTGGAAAAAAATGTTAAAGAATGTACGGTGTGCTGCTGGCTTCGACATTCAACCTGCATCGTTTTTCCTTTCTCGCATGATGTACCTAGTGATGGGGTTCAAGACTCTTCTTCTCCAATCAGATAGTTAAAGATAATAAGCTACCCTGCACACTTAAAATATACTCTTTTCAGAAGATGCTACTTTTGCTGTTTAATTGAAATCTTCCCCTCCATAAGAATGGCCTAATCTCTGGTCCTCTGTCCCATATGAACTCAGATTGGCATCAAGAGGGGATAAAAAGTTCCAAGTTTGATTATTTCAGTTCCTCAGAGTTTAATTCTTAAAGATGGGGTGAATTCGCCTTTTCTTTTTCTTTCTTTTATGTATACTTTTGAGCAATTAAACTTGTATTCTATTATATATCAGGTTCCTCTTGTGCCCCTTGTGTGTAGTAAATTATAGATTTAATTGATTGTTGATTAATTTTGCTTCTGAAAATATGCAGTTACAGTTAATGAAGTGGGGGCATTGTTTGGGCTGTTTAAGAAAATAAGTAGCTCAATAATTGATGATGGCTTCATTCACAAGGTAAATTGATCTGTCGAATGGAATGGATATTGATGGATTCTATGTGTTCTAATACCAGTGTTTACTGCTTCTGCTCTTTCTCTCTACTTCCCCAGTATTAGGGATCTGAATACTGGATGTTTCTTCTTGGGTTGAGTTTGTGTGATTCTGCCCATTTTTGTCTTTGTGAGAGAGGGACAGATTTCCAACTCTTTCCAGACAACTCCCTTGTTGCCTTGGTTAATAATTAATGGACCGTATGTTGGTACCCTCCTTTGAAGTTTGTGTATTTTGGTGATTCTTATTCAGTCTGCTTAGTTGGTTGGGAGAACATAACCATGGAGTATTTCATTTCATCATTAATGTGTGCAGAAAAATTGTTTGAGTTATATCTTAGATTTAACTAGTTGAAGCATATGATGCCTAATGCTTGATAGAGTGATTTTTTTGGCAATACGCAGAGATGAAGTATTAGTATCTATAAAACCTGCTTAGTTTTATGAATTGGCAAGGTTTGAATATGCTCCCCTCTCACCCCATTAAAAATAAAAAAATTTGCAGTTAAAAGGGCATATTAACACTGTACTTATCACTATTGATATACTATATATATCTCCATATATATTATTAGGATCCAATAGCAATAGAATGTTGAATGAGGAATCAGAATACAGTAAACATTTATACTGAGGACTGTATTCTATCTATATGTGGAGTGGCTGCGATACTAATTATATTTGTTCTATTGTAGGAGGAGCTTCAGCTGGCAATATTTCATACCCCACAGGGAGAAAATCTTTTCCTGGATCGAGTGAGCAATTCTTATACTTTTCACTTTTCAGCCCTGGCATTTTCTTCACCCTAATTCCTAACTCCTATAAGAAATGAAATTTGTTTTGCGGGCAGATTACAATTGATCAACTGTGATCCGTTTTAGCCGACAGTATGCATGGAAAAATAAGCAAGTTCAAGTAGCATTTATAGCTGCTTTAACTTTTTCTTCTTTAATGTATTTTCCTTGCTTCATGTTGAGCTGTAAGTTTTACATAAAAGGTTCCAGCTTCACTGATTATTGCTGGCTAAATGCTGGAAATATGTCAACCCGCTTTAGTGATGCATGGTCAGCACTTGTTTTCTTTTAGAAATTTATATGGTGGAATCCTTGCAGCCAGCAAAAGGAACAATCAGGTGGTTGAAATCTGTGCTCATGTGCATGCACCAAAACTTTTCTGATGCCTTTTTTTGTCATTGCATCCAATAATACATGCTCTGTTCATTCATAATGTCTTAAGTATACTAGTGTTGTTAAAATTATTTTGCTCCTTCAGGTTTTTGATCTTCTTCTTTTTGGCCCGAAGGTATTTGATCTTTTTGACGAAAAGAGAAATGGTGTTATCGAGTTTGAGGAATTTGTCCATGCACTCAATGTTTTTCATCCTTACGCCCCAGCAGAAGAGAAAATTGATTGTATGCTTTTAACCTATTTGCTTCATGAAACGGAACCCCAACTTTTCTTTACCTTATCTCCGTTCTCTGATTATCTTTTGCAGTTGCATTTAGGCTATACGATCTGAGGCAAACTGGGTATATTGAACGAGAAGAAGTGAGTGTTGTGAGTTGCTTCGATTATTTGCAATTGTTAAAATGCCTAGTGTTTAATTTATTTCTGCTGATCATTTCCTAGTCTTGGACTTACATTTTACATGGTTTCAGGTCAAGCAAATGGTTATAGCCATCTTGATGGAATCTGACATGAATCTGTCAGATGATTATCTTGAAGCAATTGTTGACAAGGTCAGCTTTGTTTCACATGTGAAAATATGGTTTCAATGGGGTAGTTTGTTCATAGGATCTTCTTCTTCCCAGCAGACTTTTGCCGATGCTGATATGGACAACGATGGTAGAATTAGTAAAGAAGAATGGAAAGATTTTGTGACTCGAAATCCATCTCTTTTGAGGAACATGACACTTCCATACCTTAAGTACGAACTTTATGCGATTATGCCCTGTTAATACTCCTTCGGTCATAAATATAAGACCCTTATACAAGGTGTATAAGGGTCTTATATTTAGAACCGGAAGAATAGTTTATTATTACATTTTTGAATTCCCCTTCTTGGAAAGATTCCTTTTTGAAGTTCATCTCCTATGTTTATTATTATTATTTTTGGTAATAGAAAATGAGGTAGAGTGAGTTCCAGAACTCCTTTCAAACTACTGAATATAATTGTTCTTCGTTTCCTAGGGACGTCACCACTCTGTTTCCGAGTTTTATTTTCGACGCCAACGTTGAAGCTTGACAACAAGAATGATGTTGCTGCGAGATCAATCGCGGAACAACGGATCATTCATGGCCGTTACCCATCATACCAAATCTGGAGATTCTTCAGAAATTGTGAAGAATTGGTGCTTCTTTATTGCATAACGGTGGGAACGAAATTATTTAATTATTTATTAGGGATAGAAAAAGGTAGGAACAAAACCAGTGCCAGCAAAACGTCCGCGTGCCGGCGTGTGTCGGTATGGGCGATTGATTCATTGGCATGCTAGCTTTGTAACACGTCTACATTAATTATTATAGGAGTGGCCATAAGTAAATATTTGTACAGTCTTCTTTTTTTCCAAAAAAAAAATCGAGAGATATGTTATATCCAGAGCTCCGAGGAAAAGATACAAAGTTCCGTCACTGAATTCAACTACAACTTTTGGCCGCGGGAGTAAATCATGCACTAATTAAGTTGTTCTTGGACGAATGGCGCTATAGAACTCCCTGTCGGATTCACGGCTCCGAGACAGATATACGACGTGGGCCACCATTTTGGAGAGGCTTTTGTTTTTCTTTGGTGGGAAGTAATAAAAAAATGTATATTGAAAATTCAAAGACATTAAAGATCAAGAAAGTAGCGCAGGTTCCTACTTCATGTTTGGCAATTGGCATGGATAAAAGGGGTTTCAAGAAAGGTAGATAGAAAGAGAATTCTTTATCTTAATATGTTTGGTAAATCTTAATCTACCAGTCCCTTACAGGAGTGGTTATTGGCAAATCTAACTCCACGCCTGAGCTCAGGTTTGGAGGACAACTTTTGGCATACCATGTTATAACTTGCAAGCTATGGAAAGCCAGGAAGTCCTTTTGCTGATGACTCTTGCACTGCTCATGTGCTAGTTAATTAAGTTCTTGCTCTACATATCATCAATGCTAGCAAGCTCTCCGTGCTTATTAAAACTAATTCAAGCAACTAGCCCTTTTGATAGGTCAAAGAGAAGCATCCCATCAACAAGACTTCGATTACTTATTTAGTATTGATAAAAAATTTAAATTCATATAATTTCATAACAAATCTTATAATTAGGAAAACCTACAACATCAAAGAATGTAGTTTCCCCATGGCAACAGTCATCTGATTGATAAGCTTAAAGAAATAGCTTGACCAATAACGGTGTGTATGCAACAGAACAACATAATACCTTGTAGGGATAAGGAACGGAAACGCCACTTATTCACTTCGCTCCTCTACAATATTGTTCCTACATCGTTATTTTGTCGCTGTAAATTCATTCCACATCAAAATGTATCAGGCACCATAAGTATTCAATTCAAAACTGTAACCAGCACTCAAATAGATTTTTTGACAACGTAAGGCCCCAAAAGAAACCATACCCCATCAAGAGGAGAGAAAAGAAGAGCAGCCCTAGTAAGAAGGGCCAGCCAACCATGAAAACACTCAAGGAAACAGCCACCAAGAAAGGCAAGGAAGACCTTGCAAATGAGCAGAGGTCGACCCAGTGGCCCTTGAATAGCATTAAGGCTCATATATTTACCATGTTCCAACTCAATGATCCATCATAAGAGAGGCGATTAAAACAATTTGCGACAAATGAATGCAGCTGCAGGGGAAAAGGCTGTAGCATCTCAGATTGCACAAGAAGCTTGTCAGATAAAAGTTGACACCTCCAAACAGTTAATATTGAGTGCAGGGAAGGGAGAAACGATATAACCCCGGACAGTTTTACTCCCCCCCCCCCCCCCCCCCAAAAAAAAGCAAATTGGAATCACTGCACCAGGAAAATACCTAAAAGGCTAAAATAGGCGAGGGTAATCTAAGGTAATAAGGGTAACAAGTAACAACATATCCGTGGCCTGATAGCTTGTGATTGCCAAAAGTAAGATGACCCAAATCTACTGATTTGAAATTGAGGATCAAGTACAGAAAATCTAATATCAATATGTGGATTAATGTTATTAAATCAATTAAAATTTTTATTATTTATATTAGCTGGTTATGGCATCTAACCCCTCAAGAAAGGGTTATATCAGTAACCTGAGATAACAGATTGATCTGCTTCTAACAATTTTGGACTCCTTGTTAAATATAAGAGGAAATGATAGGCATCGAGTTTTTAATCCTTTCAAGCTAAGTAAATTTATCATCTCATTGTAAAGCCCTTGCTCTAAAGGGAATTTGCTCGATGGATTAACGTTACCGAGCCCTCTAGTTCCAAATACAAATCATTCCCAGGAAGTACAAAATTATCATACTTGTTGCAGTTAGCTCAGGTATCTCCTCTCTCACAAACCAATATTTATGGAATCATGCATATTTTTATGCACGTCACGCTTGCGTTCATGTGAACAACATCAAAGGAAAATACAGGGCAGTAAGATAGGGAAAGAAAATATGAGAAATAACACCTGTCTCCGATCAAGTTGTAAGTATCTTGCAGGAGCACCAAAGGCCAACATGACCAATGAAGGGTGCCAGCCACGGGACAACAGGAAGTGGTGTCCAAACTAAACAACATGGAAACTTTGCCTTCTTCGGATCAATAGGACCTAGTGGCCAAAGCTCATGTTGCATAGAGCTTGAACGCTCAATGTCATAAGTTGCATTCAACTCTATAGTTAAAGTCTATACCCATAGGACAGGATACAGATTTTCACCCATTTCGGTTCAGATGCATCGCCAAATCAAATAACACCTTCAGACATCCCAACGGTTACCAATAAAGTGTATTCAAAAATCAAGTGCGAGTTCCTTATTTGATCAATTCAATCAGATTTATTAAGCAGTGATGGAATTATGACGGATATGATTAAGATTTATTTTTGGTGAGAGGAGGGGGAGGGAGAAGACAATGTTGTCTCTCTAAGGTTTATGGACATAACTTGATGTCTTCGGTTGTATGTGTGCGTTCAGGATTGATCTTCAATAAAGGCAAGAAATCATACGAGGTTGCATCGCGTTTGGTAAGCTAATCTGACCTCTAACAACGACACCATCTCCGACGCTCACTTCTACTTTTCTTCTATTATACTCATCAACCTTCTCCGCCATCTATATTAAATTATCCATTTTTTTCTCCTTAAGTTACTTCATTTCATTAACAATACAACAAGTATTTTATGAGTCTAAAAGTTACTCTATACACAAGAGCTGAGATTTGAACCCCCAATCACTTATTTAAGTGATAAGAGCTCCTATCATTCAGTGAGTTGTAATTATCATTTTAATTCCTTACCTATACGTCAAATATATCTATTCACAGTCGGAGACAGATCTGAACTTGAAACAGTAACATCTCTTGGCATGACTTTTTACTGAACCAAGGGATATGGAATTTATCTTTCAACTAGACAGGCTATAAATTCTTGTCCTTAAAAAGGGCAAGTTCAAGGGATATCCCGATTATCTCATTACCATCTTTAAGGGCAGACAGATGAAAACCCAGATGTTTCATCCCATTGGAGATTGTATAATAGCAAAATTCAAACCACACAAAATAATTTAATTGAACTAGACAGTCGAAAAAAATTAATGAACTTCGAAGTTTAATAGTCCTTGCAAGTTATCTGGACAAGAGAAGACTGGAGAACAGCGGATGGAAATACTGTTGCAAACGAAGAAGCAATGATCCACGAGGAAGATGTTCAGGTTGAAGGAGATAACCAACAAGCATAAGCGACGACGCTATTGGTGGTCATTGCTGCGAAACAAGGTTAACAAGAACTGATACGATTTATTGATAGGAAAACCACTGATTTCTAAAATCCAAATTCGAAAGCGTTGGGAAAGTTAAAAAAAAAAAATTGCCTCGCTCTCTCTAAATATTACAGCATTTGATTGGTGTTTGGCAACCTCAAAAGTTTTTCTAAAAAGCACCTTTTTACCTCCACATATTCACTGATTTTGGCAATCTCAAGTTCCAAAGCAAAGACGAAGAAACAAGAAATGGGAAGGATTCATGAACCTTGTTCATTTCCTCTCAACCGGTGGGCCCCTACCAATACTTATTTCTGTTGCATTAGCCTTCGGCGCTCCTAGAGAACTTGAATTTGAAATCATTTACTATTTCAAAGGACAGTCAACGAAATAAGTAGGCATTCCCATTTCAGTTGATTTTGGATTAGCAACGAACAACTAGTACACGAAAATCCAGTAGGTGCAGAGTAGATGCATATAATACTGTATTGATCCTCAGAAGGAAAGCCGGACCGTAATGAGAGCAATTGAAGGTTTGCTATGACCTATGAGATTGAGCTCCCTCGCCTTATGATCTGCCTGCCGCCTCCACTTTCTACTATTTGACCACATTGACCTACACTGCATATCTATTTATTTGATTTGACTTTTTTTGTCTTCCTCATTTCAGACCATTTACATTACAAGGTATGAAGGAGCTCTTACAGCGGGAACGGACGATCCAGTTTGGACATGTATCCAGGGAAAGTAACAGATGCGCGGACTACCTAGCAAAGATGTGTCCAAACCAGCCATTACAGCGAAGAATTTGGCAATCTACCCCCGGGAAGTTGAAAGTCTGCTTTTGAGTCTTGAAAGACGTCGTAGGATAGTTACGAACGTACGATTGTGCAAAGGGCTTGACCCGTGTTCTTTTCACCCGCCAAAAAAGAGCAACACCCCCACAGATCCAAACAGTAACTTGGCATGTCATATTTCTTGCCCCAAGAAATATTTATACAGGAGAATTACGGTTCAAAAATAATAATACCTCTCACCCTGAATATAACAATTAGTTGACTAATTTGAGTTAATTAAAAAAAATAAATTAAGTTAGTTATTTGTAATATATAGGTGTTGTTTGTCCTAAAATATTCTTACTGATCAAGTTTATTAGTTAGAATTACCATTATTAGAAGTACTATTTCATAAAAAACAGGTAAATATAAGAGACAAAGTGAATTTATGTTTTATATTGAGAACTAAAATAAAAATCAAATAAAGTCTTATATTAAACACCAGAAGTAGTAATTACTAGTAACTTTTAATGATAAGTAAGCAGTTATTATTTACTATCTTTTTTTTGGCCAAATTATTATTTAGTATTTTGAAACTTATTATTGCTATGTTATTACTGAGATTTTTTAATAATTATTTTCTTGAAATTTCAATGCAATTCTTCTATTTATATACTGTACTTTACAATAATCGATAAAAATAAAAATGAGCACTAGAACTAACAGGCATTAAATTTTAGAAATACGATGGCTCTTGATTATTTATTTTCGGCCAGAAGACTCTTGATCAATATCAAGTTTTCGCAAGCAACGTTCTTGATCCAGCAATCAAGAAATCATTTCTTTCACTCAATCCTTTTGAAATTAATTAGATTCCAACACAACAGAAATTGTGTC